AAAAGACTGTTATTTTGAAAATTAGCTTCCAAATTTACCCTTGTTAGTTACCAACCAATCAAACAATGCATAACCAAACCTTCGAACATGTTTCCATAGATGTGATTTATTAAAAGCAGCATTAACTATCTAAGCTCTAGAACCTTTACGTACTACAAGCAAAACCTGTTGAAAATCTCTACCAAATAATACTATTTTGCCACTAAATAGAAGATAATTTTCTATTAAATCTCTTAATGTTCTGTCAATAGCCTCAGGTGTATGATGATTTGTCATTAAAATCTTATCCCAAATAATAAGTATAGTTTGTTGAAGTAGTTTACACAAATCAGATCCTTTATTAATATTGCAAGTCATATTACCATCTATTCTAGCAATTGGTATTTTAAAGTGAGAGTGTGCAGTGTGACCACCACATAAAAGTAATACTGCAATACCAGAAAATGCTATAGCTAATGTGATTTGTTGATTGGCTTGAACATGACTTAGAAGACACTTATAGAGATAGGTTTTACCGGTTCTAGCGGGACCATCTATGAATAAAATACTTCCTTTACCTTTGTATATAAAATTTATTACCTCATTGAATATTTTATGCTGATTATCGTTTAACATATTTGCTTTATCTAGTTCTTCAGAAGTGATTTGATAATTTAATTCTTCTAATTGCATCTTTGACAAATCGCCAATATTAAATTCTAGTAATAATTCTGGTAAGTCAAAATTACTAACGCTTTTTGAGTAATGTCGCAATACTATATTTAGGCTTTGAAGAACAGCCTGAACTTTCATTTGCTCATTCGGAACTCCCCTGTACGTAAAATCTTCAGCTATTGCTTCAAAATTTCCATCCCTAAGTTGAGATATATTGGTGATATTACCAAATATTAATAATGTAGCAAAAAGATTGCATAATTTGCAAGACATCTAAAATTTCCTAGCTTTAGCCATATATTGTTGATATTTACTATCGTTTTCAAGAAAGCCTCTATGTAGTGCACTTTCTTTGAAAGTTGAACAAAAAATACCATTCACTGTTTTAAGATCATCAAAACTTCTAGCCCCTTCTACTTTTGTTAGCAAAAGATATAGATAATATTTTTTACCTAAGTAGTATTTACATATAGCATTATGCAAAAATTGTAGAGTTATGCATTAATATATGATAAAAAATTTCTTAAATAATATGATTTTAACTTTTATTTGCTGATAACAAATAATATATTTACCTTCCCTAGGGTGAGCTATGTATATTCTTTCAATACAACTGCCACATTTACGTTTTGTCCATACTTTAGTTGATTTGTTTCACATATAATACAAAGGAAAATCAGCATAGAATATATCTCTTGCTTTAGGGTCTTGATTATTTATCTTAAAGAACTTGGTAAGGGTCATTTGTTTATTTCATTCTAATTCAAATACTTCTACCAGATTATTGTTATTGTCAAAATATAGTCGTTGTTGATTGGGTAGATATACTTGTAAATATGTTATAGTCAGATTTATTCCATATCGGCTGATTTGATTTTTTGGGCCTTTTTTTAATAAACTGTTATACGAAAATTTGCTTCTAAGTGATATTAAAAAAGAAACAAATGAAGTACTTATTATAACTAACAAA